ACAGACTACCCGGAGTGACCGAACTGAACAAGCTGAGAACCGGGCTCAGCGTCCCTCCTATGATGATGATTATGATGATTATGATGATGATGATGATGATGAACTCTAATGATTTTATGAAAAATGTGAGATAATGATACTAATGATGATGACGATTAGTATGTAAAAGAAATCTAGAAGATTATAAACCTGTCGCTGATGAAGGTTGAAATTTTTGCAATGGAACTTAAAACAGGGACAGCGAAAGGGCAACGAACTCAGTTCACAATCCGCACAAACACATTGATCAGAGCAACATTGAACACACAGGGAAGAAACTGGGACGGCGCGGGTGTGCACACGAGCACGTGAGTATGTGCACATGTGCTCGTGCAAGCGTGTGTACGGGCGCGTGTTTGCCTGCAAGCGCTGAAGGTCATGTGAGCACGCACATGTGAGCCAGTCTGAGCACGGGCATGTGGGCGCGTGCGTGGGTGGGTTTAAGTGTGCGGTCACGTACGGGCGCGTGTGTGTTCACTAATAAAGGGAGGTGAAGTGCTTGTCGGGAGCCACGTGGTAGGATTTCCTTCTCACTGGCGGCTTCTCTTGCTGCGTGCAACCTGCTGATGTCACTAGCTAAGGGAGGGGAGGATGTGTGACCGCAGAAGTGGTTTTGCATCCTCAAGGCCGCAATGCTCTCCGGTGACTCGTTGGATACCGCTCGACAAGTGGACGAAGAGTCATGGTTACGAGGGCAAAGTCTCGTGGAGTGGGGGAGAGTGCATCTTGCTGATGGGGAGGTTATCTTCAATGGAGGAACATCATCGGCCGGTGCATCATCACCAGCATCTTCTTCAACAGAGGGGCATCACCATCATCATCATCATCATCATCATCATCATCATCGTCATCATCATCATCAGCGGCAGGATAACAACAGCAATCATCGTCAAGGGGCTACATCATCACCATCATCATCATCATCATCATCATCATCATCATCATCACCATTATCATCATCACCATTATCATCATCACCATCATCATCACCATCATCATCATTATCGCTTTTATTTTTCTTCTCCTACCATCTCTCTTTCCTCCTCCCTCTTGCTTTACCTCCTTATTATTCTCAATGAGAGGAAGTAGGGTTTGGAGTGATTCATGATTTCCATGGTTTTCTCTTTAAAATTTTCTGAATTAGTTCGCAACTGAAGCTGGATAGCAGCCTCGTTATTCTCAAAATCACCATAAAAAACTGATTGTAATCTCATGTAATCTTGTTATAAGAGACGGTGGGCCCAGTTCCCAGCACATGCTGCTCCCCACGAATAGATTGGAGCCTTTTTTTTTTTTTTTTTTTTTTTTCAGGGTCATAGCTTTGGGTCCAATATTCGGGGGTCAAAAGTTGCCAGAAAGGCCTTGAGGCAAAAGATACTGGGTGTCGGGTCAAAAGAGGAACCCCGTGGACCCCAGATGTAGTAATTGACTTTAGGAAACTGCAATTCAGGCCCATCTCAAGCTTAGCAGTCTAGGAGTGAAAGATTTCTCAGGAGTCAACCACGACCACATCTCACCAAAATCCAATGACTGAGTGCAGTTTTTTTCTGAAGGCCCACTGGGTCTACGCACACACATTGGCGGGCAGTAAATCTGGGCAGTACTAATCGAGAAATCTTAGAAGTCCGAGGAGCCAAAGAAAGGCAGGCCCAGCCAAGTCAACACTACAAAAAACTAGCCTGGCCCAGCTGGCTTATTCATTCCTGCCTCACGCTGCTGGATGCTGAAGTGCTGCTCCCATAGTGGTGAGGGTGGAGGAGGCAGTGACAGAGTGCTGTTGAGAGAAAGAGTGAGCGCTGGAAGTCAAGCCGGAGTAGTGGGTACCCTGCGGCCATAGCATAAGTGTAGAGAGAGCAAGAGAGAGAGAGAGAGAGAGAGAGAGAGAGAGAGAGAGAGAGAGAGAGAGAGAGAGAGAGGCTTACCTACTTACCTGTTGTTGCTGGTAATGATGAGACAGCGGCTTGCTTCTGAAGATCTGAGGTCCTGAGAACCAACCTCCATAGCTGGCGTTTGTGCTGGATGTTGAACCTGCCACTGGAGAGAGACTACTGCAGAGAGACTATGTCAGTGACATCAGTAGAGGTATAGATGCTGAGGTGGTGAGTTCTGAGTAGGCGGCTCCTGGAAGTTGAAGGGGGAATGGAAGAGCCACATCATTGTACTCTTCGATTATTATTGAAGCTTTCCTCGCCTCCTCTATCTGCTTCTCTTTCTTGTCTATTTTCTGGTTACTCGCTGCTGCATTTTGAGTCAGAATTGTGTATGATGACTACATGCATGACATTCTGCGCTTCTCGTGAGTGGGTTCATTACACTGCCCTATAAGCACCTTTTTTCTTCAAAAAAAGAAAAGAAAAAAAAAGGAGATCCATTTGGCCGACATAATCAAGTCTTGCCATTCTCCTTTTTTCTGTGTGACTCTATACTGAGCCACTCAGCCGCTACATCTGGACGTTTCGTTTCTGCCCAAGTAGGGACCACAGTAGGCCTTTGCTTTCCCTTTTCTTGTATGTCAGGTCTCAATGTAATTCTGCTTTATGTCTGTGGGCCAACTGCACCAGGCTACCATTGGACTGCACCTGCCAGGCTGCTACAACTGGAGTAATGAGAACATCTACTGGGTTCCCCATGCTCCACGTCTACTGGGTTCCCCATGCTCCGGCAACATCTGTCTGCTGGGCCTTGATACAGACTATGGGACGCACACTCAAGTCCTTGTGGGAAGTCAACACGTGTGTGTGTGTGTGTGTGTGTGTGTGTGTGTGTGTGTGTGTGTGTGTGTGTGTGTGTGTGCGTGTGTGTGTGTGTGTGTGTGTGTGTGTGTTCCGCATCGTAATAACGCTTCACACACATACATGCTCACCTACACAGATGTGGGGTTCCATGTGGTTTTGATGTTCAGAGCAGCTTTGTTTGTTTGCTGAATGCTCCTGGGTATTTGAAATGATGGTTGGGCATGAGCAGCAGGAAATGTTTACGAACTCTTCTTGTAGCATGCAGGTGGGCATCTAGCAAACGGGTGTGGGAGCAATTCCTGCCGAAGGACACAAAATGGGGACCTTTGACTCTCTAGCCCTCGCGGACACACATCCACTTCCGCCGTTGATTCTTTCATTTCCTGTTATGCTTTGTGGTGGATCAGCTTCATCTTCAGTAACTGCCTGACAACACTTTCACACTCACATGAAAGTTACAAACTTAACCCCCCCTCCCCTCTCTCTCTCTCTCTCTCTCTCTCTCTCTCTCTCTCTCTCTCTCTCTCTCTCTCTCTCTCTCTCCCTCTCTCTCTCTCTCTCTCTCTCTCTCTCTCTCTCTCTCTCTCTCTCTCTCTCTCTCTCTCTCTCTCTGAGGCACACAGGCATGCTGGACAGTCGGTACCAAGGTATGACTCCCTTCTTGTTGTTTGGAACTTCCATGCTCTATCAGCAGGAAACCAAAAAAAAGTACGGCCGCTAGCTCGTAGATTACCAAAATACGCACGGTATACCAGACCTTGTAGACATGGATCATTACCACCTTTGCTGTACCCCCAAAACAGAACGGAGTGGAGTGACAACACTCGACAGGAAAAATCAAGGGGATAGGAGACTATTAGGAGTGTTGAAGCGTGGTGATTTGATACAGCACCCACTTCGCCATCATGGTCTATTCATTTTTTTTCCAAACGCGATGCCGGGCGCCCAGGCGTTTTATTAGGACATAACCTGGAGGAGGATAAGAATCCCTTCAGTGCCTTCACAATCACCGGGAAGTCCCACTGCCATGGCCTTTTCTTTTTAGCTTGTTATCGTCTCTTTTTTCCCTTTTTGGATGCCTTTCTCTTTTAACCTCCTGGATCGGAGCAACCGGACCTCGTACTAGGGGAGGCTGCTCATATCAGTTTCCCAGGTTTCCCTAGTTATGATGTCCTGGACCTCTGGTTTGATTCAAAACAAAAGAAAAAAAGGAAGAGGTCTCCTAATATATGGTTTTTCATATGCAGCTGCTGGAACTTAGACAGAGTGGGAAAACCAAGCCACAAGTCCTTCCGGACATCTGTTGAAATTGGAATGATACACATAGCAGATTAGCATGCCCCCTGCAACAGGATGACACACATAAATTTAGAAAAGGTCCAGATATACAAAAAAAGGAAAGCAACCCACATCGACGCACATTATGCGCCCCCTTCCCCACCCCTCCACCTTTGCAGTGCTCTCCCCATTACTCTGATCCCAGTCTAAATGCATTGTCACTCAGGTGGTTATCACCTATGCCATGATTATTCCAATGCTTTCAGGTTTCACTGGCAACGGCTGAAGATTGAGATTCATGTGGTTTCTTTCATGATGATGGACCTCCTGATATTGCCGTCTTTCAACCTTTAGCTGATACCAAAAAAAAAAAAAAAAAAAAAAGGGTGATCGCTTTCCTGCCTGCTTGCCTGCCTGCTTGCCTGCCTGCTTGCCTGCCTGCTTGCCTGCTTGCGGGCCTGCCTGCCTCCCTGCCTGCCTAGTTGGTCAACATGAGATGAAGGGATTTGCGTTTTGTTGCATGATATGGACAGGGAGAGGAGGTGACTCCTACTGTTGGATACACTGTTGAGAAATTCAGCACAAGGATGTTCAAGTTCACTGTTGTGGATATGTCAGGACAGGCCAACTACCGACAGCTATGGCAATGCTTCTACAAAGATGTCGATGTGAGTGCAGACCCTTCATCCTCATCGTCATCGTCATCGTCATCGTCATCGTCATCGTCATCGTCATCGTCATCATCACTGCTAAGTTTGACGCTAAGGTCTATCCTATCTCACCACTAACCTCCATCCTGTCCTTGAAAACGATTCAGAATTTAGAGTTGAACCCATGCTCGTGCAATGTATTCACTCAATTTCACTGTAACTATAATAAGGACTCTACGAGTCTACGTCTCCTTGATCTGGTTGTCTATTAGTATACCCTTATCAGCATCTCGCTCTTACATTTATCATAAACAAATAGATAACCATCCACTCATGCAATTAAAAAAAAAAAAATCCATTTGCAAACTATGAATGTGATTCCTACTTCAACAGACAGAAATGCAGACTACGAGTGACAATGACTTGCCAAGGAACCTTCACAGGCCCCGCCCGGCCGCCCTAGACAGACTGCGTGCGGTTCCCCCTTCAGATCGGCAGCTTCGCCCTCGCCGGTAGCTCCATTCTTCAAGGAGCGGGAAGGGTGGCATGCCCGGACATTCCACACGGCCCCTAGAGCCCGATATTAGATCTATGGGGCCCTACACCGCACGACCCACAATTTGGGCGGCCCTACCGGTAGGGCTAGGGCATGTTTGATTGTGTATCATGTTTTTTTTTTTTTTTTTTCAAATTATCTTTGTCTGTTCCAGGTTTTGTCCAGTCTGGGATGTGTCTGGACTTCTGATTGCCCGAACACGCACTTGTGCCAGTCCGGACCAGTTGGCCGTTTTCGAGGCCCAGCGGTTGTTTTTTCAGCCCCTGGCAACTTTCGTCAACATCAGGGCTGGACCAGGTTTCTTTTTCGTACGGTCCAGCCCTTGTCGTTTTCCAGGGGTATCTGTGCTGCATCAGCAGGGCGGTCTGGACACCCAGCGTGGATCCGGGCAGGTCGTTTCTGGTCCAGCAACTGGACGGGACTGTCGGCCTGCATCCTACACCGCTCAGCGGAGGTTAGATAGGATGGCCCAGGATCGAGGGCCAATTTAACTCTTGGCCGGGTGCTGCTAACATTTCAATGGTAGTCTGGCGAATCATGTTAATTCAATTTGGGCAATGGGCATGCTAAAGACTGAAGAAAGTTCTTGAAGAAATTGATTGCAATTCTTTGATGCCTGTTCTAACCTTTGCAGTTGTCACCTATTGGAACCAACCAATGCCTTTATTTCTCTTCGGACAGGGTCTTGTGTTTGTGGTTGATGCTGCAGATAGGAGCAAGATTGCCACTGCTAAGTCCATCCTGCACAGCATGCTATCTCACCAAGGTATTCTCTCCATGCCACACATTTTCTTCAACGTTTGATTAAGTGCATGATTTGTCTGAATTTGGTTCAATTTAGGTTGTTGCTATGGTCCTCCGGCATTCAGGGATGATAAGAGCAAGTTTACAAGCCAAAAGACTAGTGCATGATCACATCCCATCAAGAAGGGAGGTCGGAGAGAGAGAGGTTGGAGAGAGAGAGGGGAGAGAGAGAGGTCGGAGATAGATAGATAGATAGATAGATAGATAGATAGATAGATAGATAGATAGATAGATAGAGATAGAGATAGATAGATAGATAGATAGAGATAGATAGATAGATAGATAGAGAGATAGATAGATAGATAGATAGATAGATAGATAGATAGATAGATAGATAGATAGATAGAGATAGATAGATAGAGAGAGAGAGAGAGAGAGAGAGAGA